TTACTGTTTCATTTTTACTAAAACCCTTTCATTCCACGAACTTTTGGACCTCCCCTCGTATGAAATAGAAGAACTATGTTTGCCTTTTTGGGACTATAAGTTTTACGTATCTTAAGGTCAGTACTCACATACGGTATTACTCGATAGTTTTACTCGAAGTCGAGTAAAAATCAACGTGTGGACCGCAAAACTCACAGCTCGAAGGCTCGTACCGAGCCGGCTCGATGGAATTAAATAAAAGTAATTACCTTTGAACCTACTCGAAGCGAGCTGTCAATCTTGACTCGAACGTGTGTACATGACTGCGAGTGGCGCGAGGCGAGCGACAGTTTGGTACTGTTTATCGTGATTGAAACTCGTGTTTTTAAGAGAAATGGATTTGCGAGTTTATTCCAAAAGCGCTATAGAAGACTTTATTAACACATATAGACAGTGTGAGTGTTTATGGAATGTCAAGTCCAAAGATTACTCCCACAAAAATAAGAGAAATTAATGGTATGATAAATTTCTTTTCATTTTCTTTGATTTTCTTATAAAGCACTGTGAGACTTGCTAAATACAGCCACCGTCTCCTTTGTTGCACAGACATCCTTTGGCTCGAACGGTTCGGTGAATACTGAACGGCGCGCCTCACTCGATAGATCAATGCTTAATGTGTGGACGATAGCCCATGCCATGGGTTTTACTCGACAGTTTAGCTCGTTTGAGTAATACCGTATGTGAGTACTGACCTTTAGATGGTAATTATTAATAAATAATCTACTGATGGTAATTATTACTACTGGTGTTGTCATATTACATAATATAGTCCTCACTGTCCCGACTCGTTTGCCTATCCTACAAAAACTCGGCTCTTAGCGAATAACTAGAAGGATCTTCCAATTTAACCTTAAGTCGATTAATCTTAGTGACCATATGCGCTTGAAGGGCCAATGAGTCATGCAGGAAGACATTTCAATGCCTTGTTCGAGTGACCTACTGTTTGTTTACATTAACACTTATCGGTATGTAATTGTACCCATTGATAATCGACGAAAATATGTTTTAAATGTGTTAGTTAATTTAAATGGGAACTACCTAGTGACATTGTATTGTATTTATTATAACTGATGGAAATTTAAAAGAATCGAGAAATTTTTGAACACTTTTATAGATCTGCTTGACCTGACTAACAACAGACAACTTAATAATAAAAGACAAACAGGTGACCCTAAATCGACAAGAATGCATAACCAACGGAAAAAAACACACTCGAAACAAAAGCAAACATAAGAAATTAATTAGGAAAAACAAGTTTTTTAATTTATTTTTTATGGACCACAAACTTAGGACAAACACATGATATAAATTGACATACATACAAAAATATAAAAAGCGGTGCCGTCCCTAAAACATGTGGACACGACCAGCGAAATCAAGTAGATACAATGAACAGTGTTAATACCAAGAAAAGAAATTATCGATACTGTGTCCTAATTCTACTCTTAGGTGGGGCCAGAGAACCATGAAAAATGTCAAAACTCTGTGCAATATCATTATGGTAGCGACATAACCTATTAATTGGAGAGTTTCTGCCAACGTTTGTTCGACAATGTGGGATGTGAAAACATCTTCGATTGTATAAACGACTCCCGACCCGAGGAACTTGTATGGATAAACGTTGAATGAATTACGTAATAAAATAAATTAACTAACTACCATAGGTACTAACAAATAATAGAACTTTTGTCAGTTCACTGAATGGACAATAAAAAAGGTCTGTTAACCTATCTAGATAACCAATTTTTAAAAGATAAGGACAGGTTGGCCTGTGAGCTTTCCGCCCTTTTGATTCCTCTTCTAGAAGTAATTATCTTTGAGGATCAAGGAATTCTATAGCTACGACATCGACATACTATAAAATATATTTGTCGTGATAATTTTAAGTCAATACGAATACGTCAAATATTGAGAAAACATCATAGATTTGCGTCAAAGCAAACGGAATATTGAGTTTGATTTTTCAAATACTTTATGAGGAACACCGCTGTTCAGTGGAGCTCTTGATTCCTCTTCCATAAATAGTTTAAGTAATGATTTGAGAAGATCAAAAACTTCTAAAGTACGTCATACTATAAAATATATTTGTCATGATAAATTTGTGTCAATACGAGTACGGCAAATATTGAGAAAAAATCAACAATGTTTTGCGTCAAAGCAAACGGAACATTGAGTTTGATTAATCAAATACCTTATAAGGATCATTGGGTAAATATTGTATGACGATAATTTTATTAATTTGATCACGAGTTGGTTCTAGTAATTCTGTTTATTTTCTATGTAGATGTTAAATGGAATATTTGTTTTGAAATTAATTATCACAGCTTATCTATAATAATATCGTAAAGTGGAAAAATAGAGCGATTAAGGCAGTTTGTCGCGCACCACCACTATGTGAAACCCAGCTGTCCACTGAATTATTTAAAAACCAATACGACTTAGGCTCTTTCAAAAAAATAGCGTACAAATTCTTAAAAGACCGGCAACGCACTTGCGAGCCTTATGCGGTATCACTTAATATCAGGGTTTGCCCGCTGTCATAAAAAATACCTATCTTACTCAAGGATAAAATAATTTTTGAAATCCATCCAGCAATTTTTAGTTTATTCGTTACAAACATATAGAAATACAAATCTTATATACTAAGAGAAAGTAACATAGGCCGGCACTTGCAAGCCCTCTGTCATTGAGGGTGTCCATGGGCGGCGGTATCACTTAACATCAGGTGGCCGTTATATAAAAATAGGTATGTTTTTAATAATAATAATAATAATAATAACAATAATAATAAATCCTTTATTTGCCAAGATAGTGGTACAATTAGATCGAACAACAAGAAAAATCCGCACAATCAGCCATATATAAATAGGCATGCAAATGTCATAATAAGAAGTTAAGTCATTTATAATTGTTAAACTTATGGTCTAAATACTCGCTCACGCTATAAAAGCACCTAATGAAGTTACCCAGTTAATAAGTATATATAGTTATAGTACATAATGTATCACTTAACAATAAAATAAATCTCCAACCCAGAATATCGCAGTATAGCACACTGAAACAAGCCGCTAATTAAATTACTATTTACACTTTGTTAATTGATTTTGTCAAATTGTATTACAATTCTGATGAAAAGATGAACAGATTCAGTGCTTTAGTTTAAGTGTAAGACTGTTTTAACAAATAATAAATCGATGTTAATTAACAAGTACTTCAAAGATACTTTATTTCTCAAAGAATTACATTCACTTAGTGAGAAAATTTAAGGTTAGTTGTGAACATCGTGTTATCAAATTATTAGCAAAGTCAAATGAGCAATTATGGTACATGCGCACTTGTAGCAAGATTCTTAAGAATTTGTTTCATAAAAATGTTTAGAAATTAATTTAATAAAAGCTAACAATAGTAATAATTTCTTAGACTAAGTGTCGGGAACACTCAACATCAGAATAATAAAAATAAAGAGATGGTAGTTGGCAGAAACTGGCGCATTTGCTCTTACTAATTTAAGACAGGAGAACATAACACCATTTATAAACTCAGAATAAATAAACTTGAGGCAAGTATAAAGCCTGCTGAGTGATTAATCAAACGATTATGCAACATTTTTGTTAAATCTTATAGTCCGTCTAGACCGGTGTTATTGCTTTTATAAAATTAAACGTGTATTTTATCCTGTAGTCGCAAATATATTATAATGGTTAATAATAAGATTAACAGTGACCTAAATCAAAACACCTGACTGACTTAGAGCCAATTAAATGTTCATGTTGGAGTACCAGTAATGAGTTCCATCACGCGGAATCCAGGTCATTGCTCTCTGGAACCACTCAGATGTGCTGCACTATGTAATGTACGCAATGTTTTCCAAAATAGCTAACGTTGATACCCATCTTTTAAATTTTTACAGCGAGAAATAAATTCGTTTTAATGTAAAGGTAAAGGTATCTTTGTAAAGGTTCTCAGTACTGATACCATAACAAGTGGTTGACGCCATTGAAAACGTTTCTTTTTATAATGGCGACGCGACCAAGAAATTTCTCAATTGTTCGTTTAACCGTATTTCCCATGTGATATGATTGTGCAATTAAAATGAATTAAGAGAAATCAAGAGTGTTTTGTTTGATGAATCATATTTAATACAGATTAGTGTAACTGAATTAACTCAAATGAGTTAGCCTTGAATGTTGAGTGTAAATTATCTCGAGAAGTGCCCGGTTATCGGGCTAATGCAATTTCACTCGATTCAGATTTGTTTATGATGTTTGATATTAACCAGTGCCAATAGCTTTTCAATATTTTTTGTGAGTCAGATTTTTATCGGGGATTGATTTTAACTGGCAGTTTTATTTCGAAAACATTGAATGAAGACATGGGGAGAAATTGGCTGTGCCAAAAATCAATCTGGAACTGTTTCGGAAAAACGCCTTTTGTATGGCAATTAAAGTTTACAATAAATTACCAAAAGAATTAAAAGATCTTCCGACTTCCTTAGAGTCTTTAAAAGCGACTTAGTGTATTACTTTTGGAAAAAATTTACTATTCAATAAATGATTATTTGCGTGAGACACTGTAATTGATATAAATTTAATAAAGTATGATATGTATGATACAGATAATATAAGAATTGACTTTGACTAATAATGTAAAATTCCTTAAGACAAATTTGCGCGCCATTGTGTGTGGCAGAATATGCGAACGATTTACGATTGTACCACCTTAACGTTTTTGTACCATATTCTTGCAATAAATAAATTATTATTATTATTAAAAGATCCATTCCAAATGAGTAGATTGTGTTTATGTTTTGATGAAGACTACGGCGGAGATAGGGTTCGGCCTTCATAACAATTAGATAACTGATACTTGGAAATGTGAATGCAATTTAAAATTACTCATTTGATTATGTTGTTTGTTTCAGGCGTATTCACAATCGCGGCAGTCTCGTATCGCTGCCAACGATGTTGCGACCGGAGTCCCCTCTCGCTGACCATCGCAGCCTTCTGCCGCGTCGGCTGCTTCCGGTCAAGGCACAGATAGCACCCGCCGACAAAAAGAAAAACCGCAGGTCTCTCGAACTTAACCCCCCGTCCGATCACCCCACTTATGACTATCCGAAACTCCTCATCTCAAAAACCACCGATTCCCTCAACACAGAATGCCCTCGCAAACACTTAAATAAACAAGATTCGACTGATAGCTTAAAGAGGGCGCTTCTCGCCAAAGAGGACAAAAAGCTCAAGGACGACAAGAAAGTCGCGAAGCAGGATTCGAGTGAAAGCCTTAAGAAGGCTCTGCTGTGCAAACAGGACTCGAATGATAGTCAGAAGCGAGTGGAAGTCGATGTTAAATGGACGCAAAAGGAGGAAAAGCGGGAGGTGAAGCGGGGTAGCGATAAGAAGGGGTTGCTAGAGACTGATATAGATGATACTTACAAACGGATTTATGAAAGGAGAACGGGATGTGCCCGGCCCACGTTACCGCCCGTGGCAGAGAAAGGGGTGTCTCCAAAGTCTCCTAATGGGAGTCCAATCACTCCTGGGGTGGCGGCGGTGGCTGAAGGTGTAGTTCGGTGGGGGAGTGGGCTCCTATCGCCAAAGGAAGAACCAAGACTTCGACCGGCCAGGAGCTGGTACGGCTATGGGACTCTACCGTCAGATAGTGATAAGGTAAGTTTGTATACAGACTTGTAAATTATATAGAAATTATTTGTTTTAATTTCTTAAGGCTTTCGGGTAAAATGGTGACGTACTATTAATATTACTTGACAACACTGAAGAATTTCCAAACCAATTCGACCTATGGTCCTTCAAGAAAAGAGCTTACCGATACTTCAAAGGCCCGCAACTCACTTGCGAGCCTTCTGGCAATGTGAGTGTCCATGGGCGGCGGTATCGCTTAACAACAGGTGAGACTTCTGCCCGTTTGCCTTCTGTTACATAAAAAAAAACACTCCGAATGCGAAGAAAAATTGAAACTAAATTTGGCTTTTCCACTTATGAATATTATTAATTTTTACCCATATAAGAATGAGTTTTTTACCATTTATTAAATAATTTCGTTGGGTTTTCCTGTGATATTAAACGGTCGGATAACCCAAGCATTCGCCATTTAATTGAGAGGGTTTCGTTGCTATGCTAATATCGGTGGAATTTTATCGTTATTTTTCCTTCTTTAGAAATATGTAAGAAATATTAAAAGTATTTATTGTTGTATCTGAATAATGTTTGTGTGATAACGTCCAATTTTTTTAATAGTCTGCACAATGACACCATTACGATCTAGCCTATTGTTTCCCAATGTGTGGCCCACGCCCCACATGCCCCCCTGTTGGGTATTTGATAGTCGGCTATTCGATTTTTGGAACGAAGTTCCTTATCGCGCGTTGTGAAAGGGGGCTAGACGGAAAAAATTCTTACGAAAAGTTGTCACGACACTTTTTTGCTATTTGCTATTGTAATACACCGGTTCTCGTTCGATCACCGAAGTTAAGCAACGTCGGGCGAGGTCAGTACTTGGATGGGTGACCGCCTGAGAACACCTCGTGATGTTGGCTTTTTTTTGTAGGGATAAGAAATGAAAATTATTTTTGGAATCACTTTACTAAATTAGTCTTGTTGGAACGAAGTTATCGAGCGTTGCGAAAGGGGGCTAGACGGAATAAATTAAGACCAAAAGTTGTAACGACTCTTTTTGCTATAGTTGTTATATTTTACATTTTCGATTTGCTGTCGCCAACGTCCATACCACCTTGAATACACCGGTTCTCGTCCCATCACCGAAGTTAAGCAACGTCGGGCGAGGTCAGTACTTGGATGGGTGACCGCCTGGGAACACCTCGTGAAACAGGCTTTTTTTTCGTCGTAAGATTGGTGTCGAGAAAATCTATCATACTGTTATGATACCAATTAACATATAAAATAATCGAAAGGAATTTCGTTCCATCCGGGTGTCCCTTGACTCCTCGAAAGTTTTTTTTTTAAATAAATATTTGTAATTTCAGTTTTAAAATCTTACCGTTTCGTTAACAATTTCCAAGTAATTTCTCCCTAAATCCTATAATTTAAGTTTCTTACGTGAGCAATTCAATTTTAGTTATTAAAAATTAGATATGTCACATAGGAGCGGGGCATAAGATTTGTAGAAGGGCTAAGGTGGGGCATGGTACAAAAAAGGTTGGCAAACACAGATCTAGCTTAAGACTAATAAGTAATTTAAAACAAACCTAATTTACCAAAAATTATATTTAAAATATATATACTCTTCATAAATGTCCCTGTGGCGGTGATGTCGACAAGTTAGGACACCACGGCCTGTCATGCCAAAAAAGTGCAGGCCGCTTCTCGAGACATGCCGCACTTAACGATGTCATAGCACGGTTCCTTACCACCATCAACGTGCCAAGTCTACTTGAGCCGACTGTAATAGCAAGAGACCGGACGGTATGAGTTTGATTTTATGGAAGATGGGCCGGGTGCTGGTATGGCATGCAACCTGTTCAGACACACTGGCCCCTTCCCATCTACATGGAACCAACAACAGAGCTGGATCGGCTTGTGATGCGGCTGAAAAAGCTAAAGCATGCAAATAGCAGGAGCAAAGCAGGTCTAGGCTCCGAATATGATTTTGTCCCATTCGGTGTCGAGACCCTTGGTCCGGGGTCCTAGCGCTATAAGGCTTTTTAAGGAAATATCAAAAAGGTTAGTCGACATCACAGGAGACCGAAGAGCTGGATTTAGTCTGGCTATTCAAATAGAGTAAGAACCCAGAGCGATAAGACACAACTTATTTTCTAAAGCATAGAACCTTCGGTTCTAAGTAGTCTCTGGTGTGCTTTTTAATACCTGTACGCTTGTGGAGTTGGCTCGGTGACACCTGCGCATGTACCAGGTGAGAAAGGTAACTGAAAATCAGAGTAGAACTTAAGTTAAATTTTAATGACTGATTTTTATATATAATTTGTAGAATATTACTCTGAAGTAATATCAAAAAAGTCAGACGCTTTCCATGGGCCAGAACTTTTGTCAGACGCTTTAAAGCTCTACAAATAATAAATGAACTTAATTTATTTTCAAATGTCTGATTTTTATATATGTTATTCAAATAAGTATTAAAAAGTTATATTTAATCAGTCAGACAAATTGTAATGACCAAACATCCCCTAAACACAAAAATTACTCAACTATGAGTATGGTTCTATGCTTTAGAAAATAAGTTGTGTCTTATCGCTCTGGGATCTTGGACTAAAAGGGGGAACACTGCCAGTATCTTCGGAACCTTGCCTAAAGGGACTCCTTTTAATAATATACTGCTCAAAACAATTAGCGGAACAAGATTTTTCTCCTTTCTATTGCTTAAACTAAAATTAGATTTAAATTAACTTGTACGCTATTTTTTACCTTGTTAATTTGTTAATTACTACAATTAATAAAAAAATTCAATTTGTATTTTTTTATTGAAAAAAAATTAAAATGTGCATTGTAGACGAAAAACAAAGTGACGTCTTTGAATTTTCATTACTTTCTAATCACAGAAAACACATTTTAAGTAGTTTTTTTTCAATCTTTTGAGTATTAATAGAAATTGAAGTGAGCCTTTTGAGTATTGTTATTCATTGAAGCGAGTGAGTTTAGGTCATAATGCCAGATCTGACTGAATTGCATGTCTCCCGAGCTATCGCTTTGCTTGAAGAGGGTCGAACTATGAGTTATGTAGGAAATGATCTAGGAGTAGCCCCTTCTGTTATCTACAGACTTTGGAAGCGATACCGTGAGACGGGAGAATACTCACGAAGGCGTGGTCAAGGTCGAAAGAGAAAAAACTACACGTTTGCAAGATCGCTACATCGTCAACTGTGCTTTACGTAACCGCACCACAACTGCAAGAGATCTACAAAATACACTAAGGACGGCTACTGGTGTAGAAATTTCCGACCAGACGGTAAGAAATAGGTTGTTGGAAGCCAATTTGAGATCACGCCGACCAGTTCGGGCTGTGCGTCTAACAATTCAACATAGACAAGATCGCCGACAGTTCGCGCAAAATCACGCTAATTGGCAACTTCGACATTGGAGGCCAGTGCTTTTTACTGACGAATCACGATTCCGTCTAACACGTTGCGATGGTCGTCTCCGTGTTTACAGACGCCCAGGCGAGCGATACAGTGCAGCAGCAGTCCAGGAATATGACAAATTTGGATGTGGCTCTGTGATGGTTTGGGGCGGAGTTAGTTTGGACGAGCGCACAGATCTCGTCGTTGTTCCCGGGCGCTTGTGTGCTCAAACTTACATTGAAAATGTGCTCGAAGATCATGTTTGGCCCGCAGCATATGGTATGGGCCCAGATTTTCTTTTAATGCAAGATAATGCCAGGCCGCATACTGCAGCCATCACGTCAGATTACTTACGACAGCAGGAAATCCGTGTAATGGAGTGGCCTTCCATGAGCCCTGACCTAAATCCAATTGAACACATTTGGGACTTGCTTGACAGGCGCATCCGGAAGCGTCCGATTGCACCTCAAACACTGCAGCAGCTCACTGAAGCGTTGATTGAAGAATGGGAGCGAATTCCACAAGAAGATATTCGGAGGATCATACGAAGCATGCCGCGTCGTTGTCAAGCCGTGATTAGGGCTCATGGAGGCCACACACGTTACTGAAAGTCACTAAAGACGAATATTCAAACGATATAAGAATATTTCTTTGATGGACCTTTTTTATCACCAATAAGTTTTTCGTCTACAATGCACATTTTAATTTTTTTTTAATAAAAAAAATACAAATGGATTTTTTTTATTAATTGTAGTAATTAACAAATTAACAAGGTAAAAAATAGCGTACAAGTTAATTTAAATCTAATTTTAGTTTAAGCAATAGAAAGGAGAAAAATCTTGTTCCGCTAATTGTTTTGAGCAGTATATATTTTAGTTATTTTATTTTAAGGTTAGTAATTGTTTTTTTATTATAGTGATTTAAAAATGGTTTTACCTGAAAATATCATTAATTAAACAATCAATAAATAAGAAAGTGTTCAATAATGTTGGCTCTGTTGAGGAAGACACTGTTCTCGTGAGAATAACGATTTAATCGAGAATTTGTACCGACACTTATAAAATTACAGAACATACAACAAAAGCATCCAAATGTAGAGAATCCAAGAATAAACATTACTCATACACTCATGAACGGGGTCAACCCTCAAACATTGTTATTCTTTATTTATACAAGTATTTCGGCTCTGCGCTGAATACAGAATGTTTATCGCCCGTGAATACCAAGAGAAATTAAGGTTAGGCCTAGTGGTATCGGTATGCGACTCACATCCCTTAGGTCGTAGGTTCGATCCCTGTGCATTAATGGAGTTTCATTATATGTGCACATTTAACATTCGCTCGAACGGTGTAGGAAATTATCGCGAGGAAACCGGCTTGCCTTAGACCCAAAAACTCGACGGCGTTAGTCAGGCACAGAGGCTGATTACCTATTAGACAAATTATCATCAAACAGGTACAAAACCTAAGGCTCAACCCCAAAAAGGTTGTAGTGCCACTGATTTTTATTGTATTTTTTATTTAATAATAATAATTAACTTTTGGGATATCTGTGTTTTTTTTGGCCTCCAAATTCCGCCATTCCTGTCTGCACTGTGCCACACTCTACCTTGTACCTGCTGTTTCCTTAATTCTGTCTATC